GAATTCTGCTGGAATTGCTCCATACAATGGATGTTCCAGGAGTTAACAGTGCACAGATTTCTTCGAAGTGCCACATTCAGAGCAAATTAACATGGTCTTAAAAGCCAGTTTCAAGACAACTCTCCCACAGACACAAGGTATTGGCTGTGAAACAGAACATGAGACATGAGGCATCGCGTGACATCAGGTAGCACATTTCTGTTTATTTGCCTTTCTTCAAGAAATCTTAACTCACCATTAGGCAAAGGAGTGCATACAAGATGTACTAGATTAAAATAGGCTTCTTTATCACTGGATTCTGTGGCATGAAGGCCCACAGCCTCTGGGCTTTTTTGTTTTTTTAAAAGGATATTTTTTTTACTTTGGCTGAGGTGTTACAGTTCAGAGAACAACCTGCCGTCTACAGGAAATCTCCTGAGAAAATTAAAAGTGAACACAGCTATTTGCTAGGCTGTTTTACTGAACAAACACTGCCAGCTGTACTAATAGCTTTTCACCAGACACTTGTCAGCTTCTGAACCCCTACGTTTATAAAGACAACAGGAAATCCAACTGCAAAGTGATGGAGACAGGGAGAAATGGCACTGAAGTTTCTTCCCTCTTGCAGCAGATTCCTGCCAGCTGTCAACTTGTGTCTGTGTACTTCAGTACAGATGTGATGACCTACAACAGAGGTTCTGCCCTAGACATACATAGCTTGCCCGTAGTCCAACTCAGTGCGCTAGTAACTTTCATATATTATATTAAACTCCGAGGTTTGTCTCCTAATGTCCTTCACATGATGCTCTGTCTGTTCACGTCCACATTGTACGCTGATGAATTGGAGCAGCCTCGGCCAAAATCAATAAAAATGCCTTCAGAATCAGAGTCAATTGACTCCAAAATCTGATCCACTATGTTCTCAGGGCTGGAAGAGGGAACTGGAATCAAGGAAGGGTCCCTGTCCAGCTCAAAAGACCTATGTGGGTCGTCCATTGAGTGGAAGTGTCCTTTCTGTTGCTCAGCTGTGCTGAGTTTGCTAGAGCATTGCACTGACCCGGTGCTGGGCCTCTCCTGGTCTCCTGACAGCGAGCTTTTCGTGGCTGTCATGGAGCTCTTGGAACCGTTGTCCATGATGGTGGTGAGGTTGGAGTACCCCTGGAGCTCCAGGCAGGAGGTCATTTCCGAAACAGAGTGCCTTCGGATGCCTGTTCCATTGGCAGCCATGCCCTCGGTTTCATACTCGGCCACTGGAGTCAGCAGCGGATTATTGTAGCTTTTCGATCGCACCACGGGGTTCTTGGCAAGGATGTCACCTGATTTTGAACGCCTGAAGAACCGCTTTTCTGTGAAGAGAGAAAGATCCAGAGTAATATTTTCAAAGCTGCCTGTTATCATGGTAGTAATAATTACCAGTGTTAAAAAGAAAAGTCATATCCCTGAGCTTTTGCTGTATGACAGACCCCTTTATAAGAGAATACATTTTCCTAGTTTAGTAGATCAATGGGCTTCAGATTTACTAGATTTCTTTAGCATATTGAAGACCTCAAACCTGTCTTTACAAATAATAGCTGAGATTTCCTTATATTCATACATCTTCAGCAGCTGGAGTAAACCAGTAAATATTGTGGGGGACCTGACATACAATTGCAAATACTTTCTTCAGGCAAGACCAGAAAGTGCAATTCTGTTCTTATTCAGGCTGTGAAGCTCATCACTAATTTATAGTAGTTGAAATTTTAACTTTTCTACCATCTCAGGAAAATCAGGTGTCTTCAAATCTAGGGCACAAGGATTAATACAGGCATTTTTACTAAAGAACTTAGATTCAAAGCATCATTCAGAGACCACAGAATGAGAGAGCACCAAGAGTGTTTGGAGATGTTAACTGGAGGGCAGTGCCCACAGCAACTTTTCTGGGGAGCAAACCTGCACTCAATGTGGCAGTGACTGTATGACTACTTCTGTTAGCCAAGTGGGTTCTTTCCAAAGAATGAGCAGCAGGTGGCAGCAAGTCAGCACGGAGATCCTCCACCGGTGGTTTAGGGCTGGGGTGCTCTCTAGCAGCTAGACCAAAATGATCATCATGCAAACTTACTGCAGACCTCAATGCTCAGACTCACTTGTACCACAGAAAAAAGCAGTGTGAAGAATAGGTCTCACTTTTGAAGCTTTCTTCCTACTATTCACACTTTGCCATTTCCATGAAAGGGGTACAGCTGGAGAAGGGAACCTAATTACACTCTGAAAGTCAACCACGGCCACTACATACAAATTGCCTGCTTTAAGTCAGGCTGAAACCCACACTATTTCCTTTACAAATGCCAGTCTCATCTAAAATGATGTATAAATTGGACACAAATTCCAGTTGTATGCTGTACTACTAAACCCACCAGTTTCTGTATTTAAGATTGCATTTTGCAGTTGTGTCTGCCTCAGTAGTGAAATCAACTGAGCCAAGTTCACTTTTTGGACTTTTTCTTTGTTAGGAATTTGACCTGGCAAACAGAAAAGGTTCCCTGGGGCTGTCCTGCCACAGGAACACTGGCTTTTTGCTCACACCAAGGCCTGAGTGGAAGGAAAGCCTGGGTGCGCTGGCCAGACAGGGAAGAAAAGAGGTCAGCGACCTCATCAGTCCAAAGGATGGTATGTCACAGCTTTAAATCATTCTACCAAAAGAGCGGGACAGAACAAGATGTGCTAGTTTAAATGCAGCACTTAGGCACTCCACAGTCATGTAATACTACATGTATTTTCTAACAATAAATTTCACTGGGGTTTTATTCTTTTTTTGAGTGCATTTTTTCTGCCCTAACATACAAAAGCTTGTATTCTGAAAACACCAATTTGGGGCTCCTTTTAAATGCGTGTGGCCTTTTAATGGCAAGCAATGAATACAAAGTAGTAATCCCAAGCCATTTTCCATAAATAATTGGCCTCTATTTACTCATGTAAAACTGATTTATTTCTTTAACACCAAATGCAATACAACCATTTTTCCACTCGGCTTCAAGGGAAAATCATCTACCTTATTGACCATTTCTGACAAGCAAACAGATTAAATTGACTGCACAGGAAACACACAATTGAACTTATTTTCCCCTCTGTTTTCTCTATTCAAGCAGGACATCACAGTATTTACACTGAATTACTCAGGGACTACCACATTTCCTTTTTGATTTACGCTGGTAGTGTCCCCTTGCAATTTCAACAGATTGAATTACTACATGGGATACTCAAAAAACCTTCATCTTCACCAAATCTTGCCTTCACTGAATGCTTCAGAGCTCAAAGAATCACAGAAAATAAGCTGGAAGGGACTCAAGAGGGTCCACCACTCAGCTTCTGCCACCAGGCAGGACCACGTTTCCCCACCTTGTTCCTTACAGATGCCTATGTATGTGACATGCATACAGTGCAGTGAAGATCTAACAGCCTCCAGAGGTGTTTTATGTGGCATTAGAGATTTTCCTTCCATGTAATCTGAATTTCCTCTGCTATGTGTGGTCTACTTTGTTGTTTTGTCTCCAGTGGGTTGAAGAACAGCTTATTACTCTGGAGAAAGCTTTTACATGTTGGAAGGCTTATCCGTTAGTCTTCTCTAAGACTATTTCCTGTTTTAAACAGTCTTGTATGATCTTTGAGCACTAATGCACAGGTACTACTCAGTGCTCTAGAAATGGCTTCTTGCTTCTTCTTCTCACTGTTCATAAAGCATCCTGTGTTAAAGCTCTCTCACTAAAAGAAAATGCTAAACACACTCCAGAATCAGATTCATTTATGTGCACTGTTATGATGATCCTTTGTCATTTTCTGCCTCTGTAAAGTTCCACTGTGGCTTTGCACATTGCAAAGAGCATGACCTTAGAAAAGGAGCCTGACCGTATTGAGTTATTACTGGCAGTCTCCACCTGCATGGGCCCTGGCCCTGTGTGAGCCAATGTTTTGGTGAAGCCCCCTGTGCTGTGTCAGATCAAGCCTCTGTCATTCTTACCCAAGATACAGGAAGAGTGCGTGAAGGGTCCATCACTGGAATACAGACCATATGTGCCCAAGTAAGGAGAAACGACTTTCTGGATTAGGGATTCCAGTTTCAAATAATCTTCAGTCACACCTTTTGACTCGTGAACCCCCTGGAAGAGAGAAAATACCCAGATGAGCACTGTCCCCTCCAACCATCAGCATTCATTGCTCAGCAAGGCAAACGTAATGGCAGCAAGCATTTTCACTGAGTTGTATAGCAAAGGTGCACTGTGATGTGATAATGGTTTGTTACTACAGCTGATTCCTCCTACTGTAAAGGCAAGAGATGTGAGTCAAAACAGAGAGACTCACCACACAGGCAGTACACAAATGCTCGGAAAGAGGCAGTAGCTATTTCTAGGACATTTAAATCCAGAAAGGTACATCCTGCTTAGTGCAAAGGCACTCAGGGAGGAAGGAGGATGTGGTCTGTGAAGGTGAATTAAAAACATCCCTGTTGCGGTTTTTTTTTTTTGTTCAGGACGACTTCCTGAAGAAACCACCGCCGAGGGCTGCACCAGCGGCTGGTACCACAGGGTGTCACTGCCATCTAAGCAATACCAACACTGGTGCTCTGAGACACCCGGAAATGCTTCTTCCAGGATATTTTCAGCAAGAAATATTTATAGTGAAGAGGCTTCTCCCTCTTTCCGCACCTCCTCCCCGGCACTTGCCATTATCCAGGCAAAAGCGACATTATAATTATCATGGTAAGATTCACCCACAGGCAACATCTTTTGTCCTTAGCTGTTAACTCCGCCCTTCCACACAAATGGGCTTACAAGGCTGCAGAGGTGACAGGAAAACCCTGTGGAACTGTAGTCTCCCTTCCACTTTTACAGCTGCAGTGCATGCTCCTGCATTGTCTCAGTACAGCCCTGTATTACTCATGTGTAGGATTGTTCTTGCAACCCCAAGTAAATTCACATTTTAGAGTGTTGCTATGTAGGCATATATTTGACATATCTTCTTCAGAATTAAGATCCTAAATGTCATACTCAGCAAGAAGTTTGCTTGAATTTAGCAGAATTTCAGATTTCATAATACGTCCCTGAATTATTGTAAAAAGAAGCAAGCTGGGATGAAAGCCTCCACGGAGCAACGTGCAGATCAGATGAGTAAAATTGCAACACTTCCTTCAGCATGTGAAAGGATCCTGATGTTCAGGGTGTATTCACTGCTCAGTATGATTCACCAACCAGTGTCTGCAGGTGACTATCAGCCTGCAACGTGTTCGTGAAAAGCCTACTTCACCTCTTGGCTGCTGTGATGCCTGAATGCTGCCTGGCGCTACTTGCTGAAAGTTTATGAATGGAAAATAAATAACGGCCAGCAGTGAATGGATGGAATTTGGATTTCAGTTCAGTGGGTTTTAAATAACAAATAACAATCCTTGGAGATGTGCTATGTCCTGCAAAACTTTGGGAGAATCACAAATATAAATACAAACACAAGGGCATATGCAGTGAATCTGAAAGCTTGCAAACACCAAAATAACAGCAGAATGATCTCACAGCTATTCAACCGATTTAAATCAGACAGAAATAACACAGGAATAATTCAGAACCCTTAGTAAGGATGCATATATTATTTCCAAGTCATTGTTGTCCTATATCAGAGAAAATGTTTTAAGTAACAGAAGGAAGGGTCTCAATTTTTATCATGTTGAAATCTGCTCCTGGGTTTTCCCTCATGTCTTGCTGGGATTTAGCCAAGATCTTTTCAGCCCTCAGAAAGGTGACATGCCTGCTACCTTACTACATATTCATGATTGCATCAAGCTCATAACCTACTGGCAAATGCCAGTATGTTAGGCCATCTGCTCCAGGCTCCCATACCAATTACATCTAGAACTAGTCTCCTAAATGTGATACATACTACTAGTGGCAAAAGCCAGTGATATTTAGCATTGTTCATGCTTACACTTCGTGGTAAGGTTTTATTTACTTTTCTGACATTAAAGTATTTTTGATACTTGTGAAATAGGATAACTAAATGTCAGCTGTGGAGAATGAAACCCTGTAAATCACTAGTACCACACTGCCCATAAAATGACTTTTACCACTAGCAGAACTACGACAGTGTATGAGTGATGAAAGTGTCCTTGCCCAGTCGTAAGGCTGATTTCCTATCAGCCTTACATGCCTGAAAAGTTCTTTTAGTTTCCCTCTTGCCTGTGACTTATCTGTTCTGGTACACAATCTTGCTTCTGTGATGAATGCTTCAAAAGCCCAAGCTGTTTTCTGCATTGACTGATGCTCAGGCAGGAATCCATGGAGGCTTTCAGCAGCTCTGTTGGGTTGGGAAAGGTTCCTGGGGTGAGCTTAGAGGATGAAAACTTGACCCCCAAGGTTCAGCTGCTGCAACACTCCCATCACAGGGCACAGATTTGCCTTGTTCCCACCACTGCTGCCCTGCAGTTGCTGTGCCTGGAGAGCCCATCAGCTCAGTGCTCCTGAGGAACATCTTATTCTCTCAAAATCCCAACTCCCTAACCACTTGCATCAGCTTTTTCTTCAGCCTTGCCCTAAACCTTCAATCCTGGTCTCCCAAGAGTAGAGCTAATCTCCACCCCACTTTTCACTTCAGCCTCTTTCAGTTCCCACCTTCAAGGTGAAGAGGCTACAAAACATCACCTTTACTATGTTGTCCTGGGTTCAGCAGTAGCAGTCATGTTTTTCCTTTGTGTTAACTGGTGCAGTGCTGTGTTTTGACTTCTAGCTTGAGAACAGTGTTGGTGAAGCCGATGTTGTCGGTTGTTGCTAAGTGATGTTTACCCTGACCAAGGACTCTGTGAGGCTCATGCTCTGCCAGGGAGGAGGGGAAGCTGTGAGGAAGCAGAGACGGGGCGCCTGACCCGGGCTAGCCGGGGAGGTATTCCATACCACAGCACGTCATGCCCGGGGTGGGGGGTAACTGGGAGTTACCCGGAAGGACAGGGGCTTCCAGGTGGAACTCGTTTTCTTGGCCGGTGGTATCGTATTCTCTTCCCTTGTTATTTTCCCTTATCATTGTTTTAGCTGATAGTAGCGGTGGTGATTTGTTGCTGGACTGTTCTTGTCTCAACCCGTGGGAGTTGCACTCTCTCGATCCTCCTCCCCGTTCCTCTGGGAGCGGGGAAGGGGAGAGCCCCGGTGAAGGGGGGGGGGAGACGGACACGGACCTTGATTGTTGTCAGCTCGGCACCACTCACTGGGAGTGAGTGAACAAGTTACCTGACTGGGTTTAAACCACGACATATGTACAGCTCCAAGTATTAACACAGTCTGCCATTAGTCTTATTCCTCAGCTCTGTGATCATCCATGGGATGCTTTTCAAAACATACTGAAAAGTCATAAAACATCTGGTGTCCGCTGGAGCCATGGTGACTTCTCTTCTGCCATTGCACCTTGGCACAGATGTGCTATATCCACCTGTGATATCCTTCCTGTGTTGGCCATTGTTCCAGGCCTTCCTGCAGGAGCCCAATGGGACGGTTCCCTTAAACCATTTTCTCAGTGCGGAGCTCCTGTGAGAGCAGGAATGTAACAAGCTGCAGACCACGTCCTGAACTTGTAAAAGAGTGTTTTTCCTGCATTCCTTTCTGCTGTGTTATTCAATGACAAACATCCTCCAGGCCTCTATTTAACCAAACACAAGTACATCCCAATAATCAGCAAGGACTTTCTCAGCTTTCCAGACCTAAACCATTCCACACCATAACACCATCACTTATTTATTAATTACTCCAGTGGAAATGGCCCAGAGGAGTGTCTCAGAGCAAGCTCAGAGCAAGCTGGGGCCACCTCTGCCTGGCTGCAGCCCCTGCCCAGGGGCAGAGTAGCACCATCACTGCATGCCACTCACAAAGCCACATGTCCCCTAATCTAGAGCCAGCTGGTCCTCGCTGCAGCTGTGTTAACATGACATGCCTGGGAAGTGTCCTGACCCAGGGGTCTGGGATGTAGGCTGTCAAAGGTTGGGTCACAGGGTGTAAGGCAGCCCCTTGCTCCTCTTCATAAGCTCTTAAGGTCATGGACCAGAAAGAAGGTAGCTGCAGGTTCACACATCAGCTCACAACAGGTTAGCTGAGATATATCAAAGGTAGTAACAACGTCAGGGGTGCTTCACAACCCTATCGAGAATGAGGGGCTTTACAATTCAGCAATTCTTCCAGTTTCACTTCTTTAGTGAAACCCAGGCATGGCTGGGCTGCCCTTGGCACAGCTGAAGGGTGGCCAGAGCAGGGGCTTGCTGTGACACTGGCACTTCTGAACCAACTGGTAGTTGGGCATGAGGAACAGCAAGTGTCTGAAATGGTGACTGACCTGACAATTCTTGTTACCACAGCAGCATGCAAACCTCACTTCAGAGGGTACTGTAATTTAGCACCATATGAGGCTGAAGCAGGCAAGGAGCATCAAGGGAAAGGATGAACACCTCTTAAAGCAGACCAGCTGTAAGAGGGTGGGGGAAGCTTTTGCTTTGCTTTAGCTGCCAGCTCCAAGGGTGCATTTAAACTTTTCTCTCCACCAGAGGTTTCCACCCCATGCATTGTGCCATATGTAAAATCCCTTGCTCATGTGACACCATATTCAGTGGAAGGTACTTCTGGTGGAAGTTTAGTATGAAGCAAAGCATGGTTATAAATGCCTCATATATCTCTGTGTAAATATATATAGATATACATGTATAGATATCTATGAATCTATCTATATGGTTATCTACATATATTTAAAGATACATGGAGTCCTTTTTAGACCCTTTCTCAAATTTGTAAGTGATTGTGCTTAAACAGGCAAATTAGCTTCATTGTATAGCCAACTTGTGATTGCTATCCATGTCACAATAGTTTCCGAAAAACTGATGGCAAGACTTAAAAGCCACCAACAAAATAATAAAAAGTATTTTCTTGTTATTGTGGCCGCTCATGGTTCTTCACATACTTACTACTTGATGCCTGACTAGTCTGGCATGTCACTATACAGCAATAAAGCAAAAGTCAAATCTAGCAGGCTGGCTGCTTAGCTTGCACGAAGCTATATCATAATCTGGAGGAAAGAAGAAAACTTGTAATATTACCAGTAAAACAGACTCTAACCTTGCCTTTAATGCAATATTTACTCTTCAGACATGCAAAAATCTTACTTTAAAAGATAACTGTGACCTTTCATGAACCCAATTTCATTTTAGCAGTAGAGTTTCATGCTTCTCTGCAAGTATGAGATGTACCTATTAAATTCCTTTCAAAGGCCTTGCCTGACCTATTTATTTCTCAATTGAGGGACAAAATAGCTCAATATCAAATAGCTGCAAGTATCTTAGTACTTCTGGAGGAATGTAGCTGCTGGATCAAATGCTCATCTTGGTCATGCTGTTTTGAAATGCAACAACAGTCACCTCATTATCTTTGGAAGGATTATAATATAATATTATGACAAGAGTCTGCCCTACTCTCAAGGCATGGATAATGGTGATTTCAGTCCTGAATATGTGAATACCATTGCAAATGGAAAAGGTCTATGCTCAGCATGAAGAGCAGAGAAAGATTATTTCTCCGTGTAACACGGTATCCAAGTCCGTTACTTCATTAACCTGTAATTAAATCATTTAGAAACAGAATTGTATGTAGTAATCTCAAAGCATTAAAAGGACCCTATACACTACTATTTTTGATATGTAAATCTGTACACACTCTCAGAAGGGTCTTATACCCTAAAGACTACTGAGGTAACTACTCTGTGAAGTTACTGTTCCGTCTGCTGCACTTTGGCACCAACCACATGCAACCCCCCCATTACCACGCTCAAGTATGTTGCTGGAACAAACATTCCTTGTGTTTGGGAACAAAACCCCATGAGTCAAAACTGTAAGTCATTCCAGCAAGAATGGACACACTGAACCACCCAGGTTTCCATCCCTGTTAATTAAGTCAGTTAACCACAACCTCCTTCCTACTGAGTTTTTAAAGGGCACAAGGTTTCTTATAAAAGCACAGAAGAAAGAACACATTTGTCTTTTGGCACTGAAAATAAACAAATGTGTTCAGAAGAATAGCTGGGGTTTTTGTAAACCCACATAAGGCTACAGCCTCCTTTTTCAATATATAGAACTTCTCTAAGCCTCAAAAATGGTCCTAAAGCAAAGGCTACGCTAAACAGGCATTTAAGGACTTGATGAGTCCTCCTCAAGCACAACATTAAACATTCCCTGAGGCTAAGGGGAGTTATTGATCTCCCTAGCCTTTTGAATGCTGCACAACAAAGATGAATCGCTTTGGCCATTTTTTAATGAAGGTATGTTTTAACAAAAAATACTACTAAGCCATTATCAACCTCGTATCTAAGCACAGGGTACATGACTTGCAAATCTGACAGAAACTGAAACTATTTTGGTAACACTTGCCACAACTTTTCTTAAGAAGAAATACAAAAAGTTAAAAAAAAAAGTATCAAACATCCTTCATTTTACCATGGCAATGAAACAACCACAGTCATAACCCTTGATTTCTATATCATATCATTTTTTAACACCCTCTTCTCTTTACAGGGAGTGAACAGTGACAGTAGTAGGTAGAACTGCCATCGATCCAACTCGGGGTAAGATGCAAGCCTGCCTGCTGCCTCTGCCCCTCTGCACCGAGATCGGCATTGCTACACGGCCCTCAAGGCTCAAGCTGTGTCTTTTTATTCATTACCATAACTAGAGACCCTTAATTTGTGGTAAAAAAAAAAAAAAGAAAAGAAGACACCTAAAATGTAACCGGATAGTATCAGCACTTCCAGACAAATGCTCTGAAATGACCATAAACTGGGCTGCACTGAGCCCAGCCCATCTTGAAGGAATTCAGACTGTGAGTTGCAAAGGAGTGCAGAAATTAATCATCTGCCTTCTACCACTTTTCACCTGGTGTTGGCTACTTCACTTCCTCAGGCTCTGGTAAAAAACCCAGACAAGAAGCGACCCCCAAAGACAGTCACACCACAAAAAACTGTTTAGGCTGCTGTTGGTCTGGTATGTCACTAGACAGCGCAGCTAAATTAGGATCCAGAATTGTAGGCTTCCCATGCTCCTGTGTGCAGATGTAGGACATCTTACAGAAAAGACCTGGCTTGTGAAACCCTGGCATGTGGCAGAAAGGGAGCTTGTGTATCATTTGCTGCTTATGCTTCTTTCTTCTCACCCCAAAAACTGGATGCAAAGCTGAACATCTCCTTTTCACCTGCATTAGGGAGCAAAGAGGTGGCAAACCCCCGCTGTTAACAGCCTGCCCAGGGAGATCAATAACAAAATACAGCCCTAGAAACAGTCTGTTCTTGGGCCACTGAACAGGTTGCTTCATTTTCTATCCCACTGCTCTGCAAATTACAGCCTGCTCACAAGTGCTTGCTAGCACAGTACTAAGTAGAACAAAGATGAAATTTTCTTCCCAAGTGGGAAGAGCAGGCAGCAGAACAATGGTACCTTCACCACTGCACCCAACTGTCTTGAAATCTTGGGAATTGTTGGGTTACATTGACTTAAAAATTATTTACCAAAAAATCCTGAAATGCATCACCCTCTTGATGGCAGGCAAGGCACCAGACCAGAGAACTGAGCACGTAAATCACAACAGTTGGATACAAAATTGCTACAGCTAAAACTGTCACGTCCTCTGGCCATCAGGCACACTTCAAGGGTGATGTCTCATGCAGGCCAAGAGGCTAGAAATAAACCTAGCTGCTGGCTGTTCTTTTTGCTACCTACCTGCTTTCCATTGATGCTTGGCTCATGTTATTCTACTTTGGTTTTATAGCTGGATTTCCACATGGCCATCACTCTCTCATGCCTGACTCCTTTTGTTTTAACCCTCTGCTTTGTCCCTTTGACATCTGCTGTTTCATAATACCTCACATTCATCCTGATCTCCTCTTTCAGGCCCTGGGCAAGCTCTCCATCATGGTGAGTTCCTCTGCTGTATGAGCCTCCCTGTATTCATCTTTACCACAGGCTGCTTCAATTCTGCTGAGACAACTGCAAGTTGCCCCAGGTAACTCCCCAGTCATTCATCTGAAAATACTCATAACCCTCTATTAAACACCAAACTGCTTTTAACTGACCAGCAGTAACTTAGGGTTTTGGTGAGTACTTAGAAAAGGTTGTAGGTCCTCTACAGTTTACAGTTATGACTAATGTTATTACTATGTTACCCCTAGTAATATCTAGAAATGGTGCTATCACCCAGTTTCTTTTCACTTGCTTCTTTAGCACAGAGTATTATAGGACCATTTACCTAATAAATTACACATTAAAAGATATCTCCCATTTTTAAGTGTACCTAACAACTGGATGTAACTGGGAACTACTGAATGCCCACCTGCAAATGTAGGTGTGCTGAAGTATACACTGGTCATTGATCAAATGATGTAGCACTCAACTTTAGCATTGATGCTTCAGCTGATCAGCATGTCTACATGAGTAAGTATTGGTGCACAAGACTGCCTTCTACGTCAACTGACAAACTGCTGGATGGCTTTTAAATGAAAAATAAAATATAATAGAATGTGAATAAGATAAAACATAAACAAAATATCTCTTCTCTGAGGTCAGGGTGGGCAAAGGAAGCAGGACCCAAGCCCAGCACCCTGCCAGGAGTGGACATGGCACTGAGGGAGGCGCAGCATGTCTTGGTGCTTTACATGGGAGTAGCTCTACCACAGGGGA